AAGACACATGCTGCCAAAATTAGGAATGAAAAAGCAAAAAACACTACCTATGCTTGCAAAATTAAAAGCATATATAGGAATATTATAAAGTGTATGCCAAAAATATTAAATAGCTTAGATGAAATAGACAAATCCCTAGAAACACAATTACCAAAACTAATAATTTAAAACTTAGCAAAAAATCTGAATAGATCTATAACAAGTAAAGAAACTGAATTAGTAGTTTAAAAATTTCCCAGAAAGAAAAATCTAGGCCCAGATGCCTTACTGGCGACTTCTATCAAATATATTCAAGGAGGCAGCAATACCAATCCTTCACAAACTCTTACAGAAAATAGAAGAGGGAACACTTCCGAATTTATTCTGGGATTAATATGTATTACTATATTACAAAATCCAAAGACATCACAAGAAAACTACAGACCAGTATCTTCCATAAATATAGACACAAAAATATTCAATTAAACATTAGCAAACTAAATCCAGCAACATATAATAAGAATTATATACCATGACCAAGTGGGATTTATCCCAGGAATATAAGGCTGGTCTAGTTGCTAAAAATCAATTAATATTATACACTATATTAGTGGAATAAAGGACAGAAACCACATGATCATCTCAGACATTAAGGTGACCAACCATTCTGGTTTGTCTGGGACTGAAGGGTTTCCCAAGGTGCAGGTCTTCCAGCACTAAAACCAGGACAGTCGTGAGCAAACCACAACAGCTGGTCTTGCTAAGAGTTGCAGAAAAAGCATCTGATAAAATCCAATACCCATTCATGATAAAAACTCTGAACAAAACAGAATTTAAAAGGAAACTTCTACCATGTATAGAAATCTGCTATACAACACTCTGTTTATAGTTAGCAACACTGTACTGTATTCTTAAAAAGTTAAGAGGGTAGATCTCATGTTAAGTTTTCTTACCACAATAACATTTTTTTTTAATTTTTAAGTGAAAGATTTATACACTGAAAAGTTTAAAACATCACTTCGAAAAATTAAGGATCAATAAATTTTTTTAAAATTTCATGTTCATGTACTAGAAGACTCAATATTGTAAGATGGTAATTCATCCCAAACTGATCTACAGATTCAATGCATTCCCCATCAAAATTCCAAAACTTTTTTCGCAGATACTGACAAGTCGATTTTTAAATTTTTATATATAACCCACAATAGCCACAATTTTCAAAAGTAAGAACAAAATTTAAGAGCTTACACTACCTGGTTTCATAAATTACCATAATGCACAGTAATCAAGACAGGGTGGTACTAGCCAAAGGACAGACATACAGATAACGAAACAGAACTGAAAGTCCAGAATTAAATATTTACAATTACAATCAATGGAGAAATGACAGTCTTTTCAACAAACGGTGCTAAGACAACCCATATATAACAGGTGAATTTAAACCCTTATTTCACACCATACACAAAAATTAACTCAAAATAGATCACAAATCTACATATAATAGCAAAATCTATAAAACATCTAGAAGAAAACAAAGGAGAAAATCCTCAAGATCTTGGATGAGGGAGAGTTCTTAAACAACAAAAGCATGATCCATAAAAGAAAAATTGGGAAATTAAGCTCCATCAAAATTAAAACTTTTGTGCTTCAAAAGACTCCAGTAAAAATGAAGAAAAGAAAAAAGCCACAAACTGGGAGAAAATATTTGGAAATCATGTATCTAAGAAAGGACTTACATCCAGAATGTATAAAAAATTCTTATAACTCAATTATAGTAAGACAACTGGCAAAAGATTTGAATAGCTATTTCACCCAAAAGGATATATGAATGAATATCATATGAAAAATTGCTTAACACCTTACATCTTTAGGAAAAATGCAAATTAAAATCACAATGACTTAAACACTTCACACCCAGTACAATGGCTAAAATAAAACAGACAGACAATAACAAGTGTTGACAAAGGTGTGAAAGAACTAACTCTCACACATCGCCGTCAGGAATATAAAATGTAAGGCCACTTTCAAAAACAGTTTGGCAGCTTCTTAAAAAGTTAAACAGATGACCCAGCAATTCTATTCCTAGGCATCTACCCAAGAGAATGAAACCATATGTCCACATAAAGACTCACACTCAAACTTTCAAGCTTCATTATTTGCAACAGTCAAAAAACTGGAAACAATCCAAATGCCCATCAACTGGTCAACAGATAAACAAAATATGGTATAACCACACATTAAAATACTATTCAGTAATAAAAAAGGAACAAAATACTGACACATGCTACAATATGGATGACTCTCCAAAACACTATGCTAAGTGAAAGAAGCCAGACGCAAAAGACTACATACTGTACGTTTCCATTTATACGAAAGATAAAGGCAAATCTACAGAAACAAAACACACATCAGTGGTTGCCTGGGGCCAGGCGTGAGAATAAGGGTTAACAGCAAACAGGCTAGAGAGAATCTTCAGAAGTGATAACACGTTCTAAAATTGGCTTGTGGTGATAATTTAAGAACTCAATATATTTATTAAAAATCATTGAGTTTTCACTCAGGATTAATTTTTTGCTATTAAATGATAACTCAAAAAGCTAATTTTTAAAAAAAATGTATGTATCCAAGAGAAATGAAAACATATCCACACAAAAACTTGTACACAAGTGTGCGTAGCAGCATTACTTGTAATAGCTAAAAAGTAGAAACTCAAATGTCCATCAACTAATTAATGGATACAACATGTGGTATATCCATACAATGGAATATTACTCAGCAGTAAAAAGAAATGAAATAATGACACGTTACAATGTGGATGAACTCTGAAAACATTATGCTAAATCAAAGAATGCAATTATGAAAGATCACACATTGTATGATTCCATTTATAGAAAATGTCCAGAGTAGGCAAATCTATAGAGACAGAAAGTAGTTAGCGGCTGCCTAGGGCTGGGGGTTCTGGGGGGAAATTGAGAGTGACAGCTAATGGGTATGAGGTTCCTTTTTGGGGGGTGAGGAAAATGTTTTCAAATTGATGATGGTGATAGTTTCACAACTCTTGTGAATATATTAAAAACCACTGAACTGTACACTTTGAATTGGTGAATCGAATGGTAGGTGAATTATATCTCAATAAAGCTGTTATCAACAACAACAGCAATAAACCTCGGTGTGCGATCTGTGAGCAGGTGAAGCCATCAGCGCTGATAAGGCCCTACCACAGCTGCAGTTACCCACCTATCTACTTAGGACAGAAGAATCTCAAAGTTACAAATTCTTTCCAACCTACTGTGATTATTTTGTAAATGAGTTTGTGTGTCTGAAATTAAAAGCAATGATTCATCAAAGCAATTAGTTCAGTCACTAAGCTTAAAAAACAGATTGATATTAAATTTTCAAATTTCAAATGCCCAAGATATATCAGTTTTCTGCTTCGTGTGTTTACTAGGAGATACCTCAATAATATTCATATGAGCTCACTGTGTAAACTGTATTACATCATATTTAAACTTTATTCCTAAACCCCTTTAAATGTAATTCAATAGTTTCCAGTCTTATATAAAGTCATTCTACCTTTGGAAGAAAGGAAGAAACTCTGAAGCTCAAATATCCAAACCTATCTTAGTGAAGCATACATTCTTCTGTGCATTCTGTCACTATTCTGTGATTATGGCACTAGACAAAGTACATCATTTACCTCTCGATACAGACCCACAGATAAAAAGAAAAAGCAAATCTGATTACCAAACACCAGATTACTGTTCTATCGTCACCGGATTAAAATTTAAACCACACGGCTGAAATAAATGTTCATGAAGACAAAAAAGGGGGTGAAATTCAGTTTTACAATAAAGTGTTCCCCTCTTACTCCTTTAATGAAGTACTAAGAACGTAAAGAAAGGCTATTCTGCACCGTAGCCAGCTCCTAGAAAAAAGAGTGCCCGGGACGCTGGCACATGGGAAACACTAGGAACTATGCAACCTGGATTACTCCTGGGGTACTGGAATATTTTCCTTTATTGACATGGAATAAAAATGCCCAAGTAGAGCAAGAGGGGACTCGGCTGCCCTGCTCGCAAAGCTCGCAAAGCTGCTCGGGCAGTCAGTAAAAGCCCTGGCCGAGCCCTTACCGTCCTCCTCTCGCGTCCTCCCCCCCCCCCCACCCCGCCAGCATCCAGGAGCAAGGTCCCTGAGGGCCAGCTTCGCGAAGAGAGGATCCAGAAGGCGGTCACTGGACGCGCGTGTTACAGAGCCCGTTTTTGTTTTGTTTAAAAAGCAGATTCCTATCAGAGCCCAGCCTCCCCACTCCCGGGGGGATAGGGGGAAGTGGCAGCAGGGGGCCGGCGTGCAGAGCGAGAATAAAAGAATGACCGAGTACAACCTGCCGTGCCAGCTAACACCGGAGGGCAGCAAAGGTAAGAGGCGGCGATGAGGCCCGAAGGGGAAGGAAACTGGTCTCCAGTCCTCCACGCCACCCCACGCGGCCGGAGCCTCCCAGGTCCCGCCCCGGGCTCGCCGCCCTGCCCCGGCGCCGGCCGCAGCCTCCCGCCCTCCCCGACCCTCCCAGGACGCGCTTCCTCCGGAGCCGGACCCCCGCCCTGGCCTCCTCGCGGGATAAGGCGGGTCAGTTCAGTCCGCTTCTCGGCAGAGGTGACTCGCGCGGCGGTGTAAACACTGCGAGACCAGCTGCGCGCGGCCCATCCCCCCCGCCGGGGTCCGTAACCTCTTTGCGCAGCCCTGCCCGGCGCCCCGCGCTCTCCGCGGGCGGGCGCGCCGCCCGCCTTCCCCTTTCTCCAAGTCCCGCTCCCCGACCGCTGCCCGGGGGCACTCAGCCTCCTTTCCCAGCTCCCGGCCGGTGTCACCGCCACAGCCTCTGGAAAACCCTCCGCAAACCCCGGAGCCAACAACACAGGCGCGGGGCGGGGGCGCGGAGGGAGGCGGTGGCACTCGGGACGGCGAGTCTTTCTCGCCGCACCCTCCGCGCTCCCTCGCACCAGCCTCGGCGGCCCGCGCGCTCTTACCTGTTCTCCGCGTCGCCCGGGAAGACCGCCGCGTCGCCTTCCCTCCCGGCAGGGCCGCGGACTAGCCGCCGCCGCCGCCGCCGTTGGCCGGGCGTCCGGAGGGAGCCGGGGCCTCCCCGGCTGCCCGAGCCGCTCCACTGGGAGAGGAGGAGACAAAACAGCGGCGCGCCGCCCCGCGCAGAGCCCCCCGCCCGCGCCCCCCTCCCGGCCCCCTCCCCCCTCCACCCCCCGCCTCGGCTCCTCCCCCTCGGCCTCCAGCCGCCGCCAACAGGACAGTCGAGTCCGCCTCCCCCACCCCGCCCGCTCAGCGCGCTCCTCCCCTCCCCACGCGGCGAGGGGGGGCGGCACCGCCAGTCACCAACGCGCCTGTCAAACCCGGGCCGGCTATTTATATCCCGCGGGGCCCCGCCGCCCTCGGCCCCCACCAGCCCGCCCACCAGGCCTCGATGGCTCTCTCGAATCTCGCCCGCCCTGTAGCCCCCAACTTCTCCCAAGCACGCCTTCTCAGGTAAAGACTCTCGCCACTTGTCCCGCTCCCTGCTCGGGGCTCCCCCATCCTGCTCCCGACTCCGGCCCCGGCCCGGGACTGGCGCGGGGGCTCCCAAGCGCGGGCAGGCGTGTAGGGGCGCGCGTGCACCTGCAGCGGCCGCCGGCTCGGAGCGCACGCACACACCCTCGCCACTCTCTGAGGTCCCACGCGGGCGCCGGCTGTCACCCCATCCCCAGCTCCGGACTCCCGCCCTTCTCCTCAAGGGATTGCTCTGCACTCAGGTAGCCTGACAGTCAGTGGGGGCCGGAGGTCGTTGAAACTCCTAGCCCGGGTCCCTCCCGTCTGGACTCCAAAGCCTGGGCTAAGTAGAAGGTGGGGCCGCGGGCGGGCCGGAGCGCGCCCCCGGTCCCGCCCCGGCCCGTGACGCTCGTGGAGCCCCGCCCCGGCCGCCTAGCGCCCCTCCGCGCCGCCGGCTCCTCCTTCTCCTCCTCCTCCTCCTGCTCGCTTGCAAACGCCCGGCCTAGTACCCCCGCGGACCCCGCCCCATTCCCAGAAATTACCACCCGCCCAACGGCCGGGCCGCGCGGCGGTTGGTGCCCGCGTTAACTGACGGGCGGGCGGCGGGGCTCAGCGCGCAGCTGCGGAGCGCGGCGGGCGGTCCCTTGGCTCAGCCCCGAGAGCTGCGGGCGCCCGCCCCGGGCCATTGTCGCTGCTCGCTCGGTCGGCGACGGACGGAGAAGTACCCCAAGTCCGAGGATCGTCGGCGCGAGAATGAGGGAGTGGGTGAGCGCGGGAGGATTTTGGTGCCTGCGAATTCGAAAATGAAAACCCAGCTGTAGCCGCATGCTTCTGGTTTCCCCACTTTCACACAAAGGGGAACCTCTGAGCAGGGCACTCACGCGCCTTCAAGTGCACAAAAGCCAATGACACGGTGCCCGGGGTTGTCCTGCATTTGGAGCGCCTCATTAATGATCTTTCTTACGCCCGGTTCTGCACACAAACGCCTCAATCTCTTCCCCCACCACTACACTTGGCCGCCGCCGCCGCATTGGCTTGTATTTGTTTAACAAAGAACAGTGACTGTCCCGGTGCGCGTGGGGACCGACTCTGGTCCCCTCTCGGGCTCCTGCAGCCGCCCTCCGGTGGACCTGGCTCAGTACTGATTCGGCAGGTTCGTTTCCCGGCTCCAGACTCACTCCTTTTGCGGCTCCACAGCCAGTCCTGAGCGTAGAAGAAACCCTGAGGAATACAAGTGGTTATCTGTTCTTGAAAGTGACGTGGGAACCATGGAGATAACCCTAGAGTAGGGCTTAAACGTCAAAGGCCCTACTGATTGAAGTCCCTGAAGAGCCGAAGAATTTAATGATCTCTTTCTTTTTTAAAGCTAATAATGCCTGTTTATTTACCGGGGAGCGGAGGCGGGGGCCGGGGAGGGGGGGAAGAGGGGCATTCTTTCTTTCCTATCCTAAAAAGCAACTCTGGGTACTTCTTAAGAGATTTTTACTTTTAAACGTAGGGGAAATCTGGATAGCAAATAGGGTTAGTCAGAGAGATCCCCTGAACTCAGATGAAGTTTTATGGATTCCTGAGTTGTATGTAAAACATAGCGACTCTTGCCACTCTTTTGAACTAAAGAATTTATAAAGCCTTATAACATTGAAACCTTTTATGCACATTAAACAGAATACTACAAACAGCACCCTTTCTAGGGCAGTATTCCTAATCCCCTATTTCCTGCTAAGAAACAAACAAACAAAAAGCCTATCACTTAAGGGAACCGTTGTCCACTTTGATATTTGTAAGGACTTAATAATCAGCACTACTGCATCTCCATGGCCCTAGCATGGCATATTAAGGAGCATGCAACAACAACGCCTGATTTCTATAGTTAGGAACAGATCTCACCTGCTGGGGCAAATCATTCCTGTTTGCAGCTAACATGAGAAGAAAAGTATCTCCTCTACCGTCAGTTGGAAGTAAGCTGGAAAGTCCCAGGAAGAAACAGTGGTAAATAACATTAGTGTTCCCGATTTTTCACTGCTCCATGCGCGCCCTTTGAAATGTGGTTTTGTAGCTCCTCTCATTAGAGACAGACTGTTTCTGCACTCCACAGACGTTGGGCTTAGACCGTTCCACTTGCTTTTGGCCAAAGGAATATGGGTGATAGTGTGACAGTTCTGAGCCTGACCTTAGGAGGTATTGCATGTTGCTGCTTGCCTCTCTCACATGTGCCTTTCACAATATGAAGAACATGCCTGGGAAGTCTGCTAGTACAAGAAGAATGAGAGACATGGGGGGGGCGGTGTCTAGAACCACCCCCAGCTTGAAGCCAGTGACCTGCAAAAAAAAAAAAAGATTGTTATTTTAAGCACTGTGTTTTGGGGTGTTTTGCTACCCGGAATTAGTGTTGCTCTCACTGACCGGTACAATAGGAAATGGAGCAATCTGCTGCTTTTTTTTTTTTTTTTTTTTTTTGGGCTGCGTTGGGTCTTCGTTGCTGCGCGCGGGCTTTCTCTAGTTGCGGCGAGCGGGGGGCTACTCTTTGTTGCGGTGCGCGGGCTTCTCATTGCGGTGGCTTCTCTTGTTGCGGAGCATGGGCTCCAGGTGCGGGCTCAGTACTTGTGGCTCGCGGGCTCTAGAGCACAGGCTCAGTAGTTGTGGCTCGCGGGCTCTAGAGTGCAGCAGGCTCAGTAGTTGTGGCTCATGGGCTCTAGAGCACAGGCTCAGTAGTTGTGGCTCGCGGGCTCTAGAGCGCAGGCTCAGTAGTTGTGGCGCACGGGCTTAGTCGCCCTGCAGCATGTGGGATCTTCCCGGACCAGGGCTCGAACCCATGTCCCCTGCCTTAGCAGGCGGATTCTTAACCACTGCGCCACCAGGGAAGTCCCACAGTCTGCTCTCTTGACCTTGAAGGTGCCAAACTTGATGGCTCTGATGTCTCTTTGACAGTGGGTCTTGGAAAGACACATCCCTTGTGGAAGCCAGTGAAGAAAGAAACCCAGAAAGTCTGTAGCAAAGCATTCTAAAGAATTCAGTAGGAAAGGGCTGATGTGGCCAGTAGTCCTAGAATAATCACAGAAGAGGAGAGCTCTATGTGGTAACTAGATTGCTTTTGCTTCTGTTTCTTATATTACACAGTTCATTTTTTAATTATACAAGTGATTCATTGATACATTCTCATCATCAATTTTCAGATAATACAAAATAGACTTTTAAAAAAGCTAAGTCTCCTTTCCTTCTCTGCTTTTCTTTCCATGCCTCACCCTCCACACATACCCAGCCATCCCATACCTCCAATGTTCCGCGGGTAACCATAAATGATAGTTTAGCATTTAAGCTTCCAGACTTTTTTCTGTGCATTTATGTACATATGCATGCATATATATAGAGAGAGACCAAATATTAGTAAGATTATATAATATATGTACTAAGTACAGTAATTTTGTACTTTTCTCTGTTTATTTCCCTTTTGTTTTCTCTAATTATCTAAGAAAGTCTCTTTTTAAGATCTTTCTAGGACTACTCAGCCTGTCTTCAGTATGATAGGCTAACCAAGGGAAGAGGTTGTCCCCACTTTTATATCAGAACGTTAAGTGGGAGAAGGACCCCTTAGCACCTGCCTTAAGCAGGGGAGTGATACTCAACACGAGGAATGAAGGAGAAGACTAAATTCTCTGAGTGGTAGCCAATAAATCATTTGTCCCTCCCAAACTGGAAATTCTCTTTCTGGGCAAATCCTTGAGCACTTTGAGTTACAGCTGATTAAATAAGGCTCTATTCCCTTATAACATTTCAAAGTGGGTAACCCAAAAGAACAAAGAAATGCCATGCTGTCTTTTCTGACCAGCCTCGGGAGTCATACACCATGACTTATGCCCTGGTCTACTGGTCATACAAACCATTCGTGACTCAGCGTGGGAGGGCACCGCACAAAGACACGGACGCCTGAAGATGAGGATCAGTAGGGCCGCGTTGGAAGCCGTGTGTCACACGAGCTGCCGCAGCTATGAATTTTGAGTGACTGACACAGGCTTTAAACTTGTTGGATTCCCTGGGCTTCCCTGGTGGCGCAGTGGTTGAGAGTCCGCCTGCCGATGCAGGGGACGCAGGTTCGTGCCCCGGTCCGGGAAGATCCCACATGCTGCGGAGCGGCTGGGCCCGTGAGCCATGGCCGCTGAGCCTGCGCGTCCGGAGCCTGTGCTCCGCAACGGGAGAAGCCACAACAGTGAGAGGCCCGCGTAAAAAAAAAACTTGTTGGATTCCCTCACTGCAGGTGGGCGAATCCCAGATTACCAACAACCATGTAGACTTTATAAGGACAGCCAGAAAAATCTCTTCTTTTGTCTCTCTTTAAAGAATAAGCGGTTCTGGGCAACTATCCAGTTCTATTACTGTGTTAACCTACCTTATTTGTGAGCCACTGTATCCACACCTCTCACGGCCCCTTTCTGGGCGTCTCCAAAGATAATTATTCATAACTCTCCCATATTCTGGGTCTGCAAAAGAACCCAGCCCCCAAACTCATGTTTTGTTTTAGGTACCATCTTGCCTTTTACGAGTCAGAATCTCTTAAACACTGTATATTAAACAAGTTATAAGAGGCCTGCCTGCGAGAATGATGAAAACCAAAATAATCTGGGAGGAACATGTGAAGTTTCCAGAATCCAATGCAACAATTCTTGAGAATGACATTTGTACCGTCAAATGCAATCAGGTAAAACGAGCAGAAAGTATAAAGCTTTTAATATAGAAGGGAAGCCAAATCATCATGAGTTGCAGGTGTAATTTTACCATGTGATGTTTCCTAGTAAAATAAGTACTTAGTGTCATTTCATAATTTAAGTTCTTGATATATTTTAAAAGCAGTCGTTTCTTTAGAATAGTGCTTTAGTTGGAAGCATTGTATTAATTCCATCCACAAATAAATTACTTTTTAAAAAAATATAATAGTGTTTATTTATTTTTACTTGTTGACAGTTTGCTTTATTTATTTATTTATGGCTGTGTTGGGTCCTCGTTTC